AGCTGCCGCCTGTTTTCGGATGCGTTTGAAGTCCTCGCGTTTGGAGCACTATCTGTCGGAACCTTGGTGAGCACCACCACAGTTGGCGCATTTTGACGCCACGGCTTCATCCGCAGGGCAGTCGGAAGTGGCGTGGTCTTGAGCGCAATTGCCGCAGCGTGGCTTAATGTTACAGTTGCGGGTGCCGTGTCCAAAGTTCAGACACCGTTGGCACTGAGTCACATCGCGATGGCCGCCACGGTATGGCTCCCAGCGGACGATGATGCAATTAATGGAGCGGATGGCTTTCAGCGCGTTGAGCGTCACCGTTCCCTTCTGGAAGTGTACCAGGAAAAGGCAATCCGGATACGCCTTCACATTCTCGTCTCTTCTTGTCATCCGATAGACGGCACTTGGGGCCAGCTTGTACCGGTCCCTGATTTCAGCTTCGATAAACTTCGGGTCGAAGTTTGGTAGGCCCCTGATGACGACCTTGAATGGTTTCTCACCGGGAATGTCGTGGGTGAAGAATTCCACCTTGGAAGTCCTCAGGTGGCCGACGACCAAGTCATACTCCGCTTTGGTACGGAGCACCACCTTGGTGCCAACTCTGCCCAACTTGTATTCGGCTTTAACGCCCAGCGTCGCTAGATCCGCGATGAGCTCATTAAGATGAGCATTTTTTACCACCAATGGAGGTAGCTTCACTTTTGCCGCACTCGGGCCGGCAGAATTTTCGTTGTCGATGGTGTCGCCGAAATCACCGATGTCGCTGGCGTTCGTTGCTATGACGTCATCACGTCCACTCGCACCATCGGACTGGCCTTGGTTTTTCTTCCTCTTCTTGGATCGCTTCACCGTGGCGGAGGTGGTATTTCCAACATCGGTGGGAAGAGTAGCGTACCTATTTGAAATAGGTACACTCGTGCTACACTCACCACTGATCTTTTCCGCTTTCTCACGGAGCCTGCTCCGGGAGCGCTGTCTTCCCATCACACGATGCGACCGACACTACTGACGACGCGAATAAACGTTTGGAATAACTATCGAACAACTCGACAGAGCGAGCAAATACCGGACTGTACTGCTTGACGAACAAGCAGAGAATGATGAGCTGAATTGGTGGTCGAAACACGTCTTGCAACGCAACTAGGAACGCTTTGTCGAAAAATACTCCAAAAGGGCTATTCTGCAAGTATAAAACAGACTGTAATTCAGTGAACGTGATCAGTTACAATTCCATTAGCTGTGGAGACAGTCGTCACAACTAATTCGAAAGACCAAAGAGTGGTCGCGGACATCGGAATGAGAAGCATTACCAACGTCAACGACATCCTTCGTACGTTGCACAGCTGAGTTTGACTACAATGATTACCTGCGTAATGCTGCTTCCAGGAAAGCCAACTGAGCACGCTGTCTCTGGAGATACCCATGTATACCAGTTTGTTCGCTTCGATCCAAAATGGCAGTTTCATTTGTGACGGAGATGGTCACCAAACATTTGGTAGAACCCTGAAGGACATGGTCATCGGAGGCTCTCTGAGTAGCTTCACCATCTTTCGGACGTTCCACTGCAGTCGTTCCGTTAGGCTGACTACAAAATGGATCACCTGCAACATTTCAACCGTTTCAACAAACAATCTTTTAAAATTCCAGGTATCAATAATAACTATTTTTTCATCAGCTACACGGCAGCCGTCCCAACGATCAAAAGGACACCAGAAAAAACAAATAATGGCTTTTCTCAGGGCCACTATTCGAAAAACAATCGGCCCTTTTCAAGGCCATCAATTCAAAAACGGGAAGAGTTAATATAATAGATTATCTATCAATTAAAAGAACTAAAGGCTCAACATATTTGTTCCATCCACTAGCGGTCCTACGTCAAGCTTGCGTTTGTGCCCCTAGGCACGGACCATTCTACTTTTATTTAATTTATTTATATGCGAAAATAAAATCTGAAATAGACCCGAATGAAATATAGTTGAAAGGTCTTCAATAGAGATAAATAAAACTGTTAGCCCCCGAAATACACTTGTATTCATGTTTCTTAATTTAATTTAAGAATAATATTTTGAACATTGATTTCATTTCGAAATCGTTTAAGAGACGTAAGCAGGGTTGCCAAGTATTTTGATATTATTTCTTCGTTCTGATAAAATGATAAAGGCCACATTTAATCAGATATTGAAAAATCCTCATTTATCCTGATTTTAAATAATTGATGCCCATACCCGCTCACCAATTTTCCGACTTTTAATCACAGTGACGACTTTTTTTAGTTTGATTTTTAGATTTTTCTCACAGCCACCTAAGCCCTAAACACCATCCTGATTAATCCTGTGTTTTCATAAGTGTCCTGATATTTGAAATAAAAAAAATACCTGGCAGCCATGGGACCTAAGCCCTCTTGACAACCTTTCGAGTGAGTCCGCACCCTCATCTCATAGCTACTTTTTTGAATACCATTAGATGCTCAATGACCCTTTTTGTTGAAATTATTTCAATATTTACGTAAAACAGTGATCAATTTGCCTCCAGTATATTTTGTGAGTTTGTGTATCGTGGCTGACCAGCTATGACGGGATTCAGCAGAGGGTTGTTCGGCGACGAAGGGATAGAAGTTTCACGACATGATCGTAGCCCAACTTTCAGCTTAAAGGATTTAAAAAAAAGTATGGATCCGTTGACTGCATGGAGTGTTGTGATACTTAAATGTTTTAACTTAGGTCGAACTTATGCTCCCCTTTAAGCAAAGTGACAACTTAAAAGACCATAATCAAGATGTCTTCGCCATAATCCTAGTATAAGAGTGTTTTCAGAAACATTTTATATTCCTTTTATTGCACTTTACATATGTTTAGGGATGGTGGAAAATCACGAATTCCACGAAATTTGGTTTTGGTCATGAAATTCCAGTAATTCCGCGAAAACCAAAAAATATGATGTATAAGTGGGAATGTTAATTGCGCTTCTTATATTTTCTAAAAAACAAATGAAAAACTACAACCACTGAATCAAAGATTTTGTCAATCAGTTAATTACAGTTACTGCGACTCGAACTTTGAAATACAATAACATTTATCGATTATTGACACTCCCTGTCCAAGGATGAGGGGCTTGATGATGATTTGTCAAGTGTCGCTATGATTTTTTTTTTTTGCAATTTGATAAAATTGTAGTTTTTCTCCAGTTCATTGATTTGAAAGGTTCATGCGAGTTAATTTCACGGAGCCGTAAATTGTAGTTTTATCATAAGTTTGCTTTGAGTGTAAAATTAATTTATAAAAAAGTTCTAAGTTTTTTTTTTTTTTTTTTTTGCACTTCGAAACTTGACGGGTCGTAACTCTAACATAGTAGCAGTGACAGTGTCGCATGTCCTAACAACAACTGCCTGCGACTAGTGTTCGAGGGGCCGACAGGGCTGAATACGGGTCAATACTAACAAAACTCTATGTTTCTATGCATCTATGTTTCTTTTTCGTTGTGTGTGTGTGTGTGTGGGGGGGGGGGGTGGTTAATGTAACCAATACTAATACCTTTCTTTCTGTTCTTTTATTCGTTTTCTATATCCCTTCATCATCACCCCATATCCCATCATTTTGACGAGAGATGACTTACTTGCATGGTGCATGCCCAAGTCGTACTACAGGATAATATGCTGAGCGTGGTTCTATCACAAATCGATAGAACTGAGGAATAATGAGGTAAATTCTACACAGTATTTTAAAGGAGCCAACTCTAAGCAGGTAATAATAGCAATTAATAATCAAACAACCATAAAAAGGTAAGAATGAATTTATTTATTTTAAATATTTTCACCAACCTCGATCATTATTAACAGGTAAATATTCATTTTATTAAATTACTATATTATACTGTCATTACTGTTAACACTATCATTGCAACTAATTCAATTAGGCATATTCAATTGACCTGCATCGGGTTATTATTTTGCATGTAATGATATGGGAAAAGGGGGGACTCACGATTCAGCATGGAGAGTGTATGGGAGCCGTTCTAGGGGTTGGTTGGGGCATGTGGTTCATTTTAGACATTATAGTCTGACGTGAGAAGCATGTTCCACTCAAGTTCTGGAATTTGGCCTTGAGACTTGAGATCTGGCCTTCATAAGACCCCCTTCTGTCTCGCAAAATCAAAATCAAATTTATCGATTATTGACACTAAATTATAATGTTGATGGTTTATTTATTTATATGCGGTTGGAATTAGATTAGGTCACACAAATAATACTTTTTTCCTTGATTTTTGTTTTGCGTTGATCTTGTTTTCCCTGCTGAACACAAATGCTACCGACGCAAGAAAGGCAGTTCCCACACCTGGACCCTACCTATCGACCCATCAACTTATGAACCAGGGACCAACGGCTTTACTTCCCTTCGAAGGAAGGTGTTAGGGCCCATTCATTAATTATGTCACGCTAAATCGAGGAGAAATTTACCCTCCCCCCCTATCCTGATGTTTTTCCTATACCTAATGCATTGCTTGTCACAAAATCTTAGACCCCCCCCCCCCCTAAAGCGTGACATAATATATGCATCAACCCTTATCAGAGATGTTATGCCTCAGAAAATCCCGGCGGCACCGACTGGGATTGAACCCACGCCAGCTGGGGTAAGAGGTAATCATGCTTACCACTACACCACCGGCGCCGCTACAAATAATACTTGACAAAGTAAATCACTTAATTCGAGCAGTTTAAAAATCTCCATCTCTAACTTTGAAATCAAATCATAATTTGAGACAACGAAATATGGCAAACCATATGATTTCTGCTAAAAATTCGAAGAAACTTTAACTGGTTGTCTTTTTTCGTAAAGAAAATCTTATCATTATTCGGATTTTGGTGAGTTAAAATACTGCCGCTAAATCCGCGATCTTTCATGTTGTTCGCCGCAAATTTCCACTGTTCTTACACATGTTTCAATATATTTGCTATGGATTCAATAGTTTTTCATTGGGATGTTTATTTATTGACTGTATTCAATATTTATATTCAACACATTTATATAGAACACTGACAAGCTGCTGCTATGGTTACGGTTTTAAATCGCCAAATATCGCGCAACGGCTCCGGCAGCAACGTGGAATGGTGGTCATGTTCGCTAGATTCATCTTCTGTACGTTTCGTCAGAACGCGCACCTTGTATGGAATTTCTTTACAGCGGGATCCGCGCCAGCATTTCCGACTGTTGACGTTGCGATTCTGGCAGATGGCGTTAACTATGTATCGTGGAAAATGTGTGTATCCCAGGTCCAACAGTTCATACTGTAAAACAAAGTATAGTAAGTAACCCAAGTAACAATTTTGGTTTTATGAGTGTTCAGTAGAATATGATTTAAACCAGTAGAATGCTTTAAAACCTTGATAAAATTTGAAATGTTGCTTGGGAATTGTGAATCAATATGACATCGTCTCTTAGAGACGATCTTACACCTTAAGTCTCTTTAATAACGAAACAAAAAAAAAATATGACATACCCGGTTGTCCACATAAATCGAATCGAATAAATGTATAAGGTGCTGTAAATTAACAATTGCGCTTTTTCAGGTAACAACTGAACAAAATCGAATTTTAGACTCGACTCTCTCTGATTTCCTTGAAACTATGAATCGACATTTCGATTAGAAGTGATGTTTTCGTGCTATAAATTTTTCAGAACGATAATTCCATTTCATCTTGCAATTGAGTGGAGCTGCATAAAAATCAAGATCTTTGAAGGTATGGTGGCTACTTTACATACATACACATATCTACATTCAGGATTTATTGAAAAATATCGAATACGCCATTTCGAAAAATGAGGCTACAGTGAAAATAACCGCATTCCAGCACAAATTTTAATTATTTACATGAAAATCGGGAGGGTTTAAACTGAAATTCGGTCTTTAACTTTAACTAACTTCTTTAGGCAGAAGAATGGGTGTACGAGTTTTGGTCCCACCATCGCGATCGATTTTAAACATGTTTGATAGAGTTTACTGACGCTCAGAACCAGAATTTCGAAAAGCGTGGAAAAAGTAAGAATTTGTGGTTTTTATTTTTTTATACATTTCTGGATTAGAGCAGGAGTGCTGTGTGGGGAGCCGATTGGATCGGTTGTATTTTTTTTTTTTTCATTAGTCCCGCAGTGTTCGGAAAAACTCAAAAACTCAGTAGTAGTAGTAGTAAAATTTACGTTTATTTTCTGGGTTTTATGTTTCAACATTTGATTTAACATTTCAATTGGTTAGCCTTTGGCTCTTCATCTTTGTTCTAGTTAATTGGTTATTCTAATGTGATGATTGCGTTTAGCGCTAATTTACAGGATACCCTTTGTGGGATTGTTTTGGTTTGAATTTAAAAATTTGATAACCTACCTACTTGAGCACCTAACTACTTAAACTAGGTTGCCAAATCACGAATGATCTGGTGGTTTGATCGCAGACAGGCGACTCTGAACCTTTCCAGCGTGGAAGTCTTTCGCTCCTCGAGTGTTTGAAGACCGGCCAGGTGGTGAATCTCAGAATTACGAGTTCGCGGTGGACTGTTAAGGATCATTCTGAGGATCTTGTTTTGGATCCTCTGAAGCTTTAAGTGGTGGCACTTAGCACAACTCTCCCAGATTGGCATACCATACTCAATAGCCGGCAGAATGATTTGCTTGTGGACAGCAAGCTTGTTTTTGAGGGACAGGGTGGACTTCCTGTTGATCAGAGGGTAGAGCGACCTGATCAAGATGTTACACTTGGTGGATGTCTTGTCCACATGGGATCGGAATAGCAATTTGCTATCGAGGGTGAGACCAAGGTAGACTACTTCACTCGACCATTCAATGGGAGTGCTATCAAGATGGATCTTGACGTTAGCAGGCGGAACAAGCCGAGGTGAATACGAATGTGGAAACAGAATGGTTTGTGTTTTAGCTGCATTGATCTCAAAAACTCAAATCTCATGCATGTTTTTATGCGCCTATGAGTTTTCAGGTTCAAAAATTCATTGCTTTATATTTTGGCGTTATTCATTGTTATTACTATTGTTTGTGCATCAGGGGTTAGAAAACTAAAACAACATGCATAGACATGATATCAATTGTCGTTTGAGTGGTTTTTATGAGTTTAAAGCTGGAATGATTTTTCGGTGTTGTGAGTGTGAGTGCGTGAATATGCATGAGAATCTCAAGCGTGAATTTTGGTTGCCACCTTCGCACGCGAGTTTACTCTCGCAGGGAGGCTCAATGAATGAGACTTGAGAATGGTTTTCCGAACACTGGTCCCATGCATCGCAAGTGATAATTAGGTTAAATTAGGGGCCACATTGCGCATCTCGAAACGAGAAACTTTTTCATACAAGCCTTCGTACAAAAAGTCTTTCGTTTCGAGATTCGCAATGGGTCCCTAGTTTTCGCATACGTTTCGTTTTCGAGTTGTTGAAATTTGTCGGCTATGTTATGTGGACCGGTGATCGCATTTTATAACTTTTATGCACAATATTTTAATTTTATTGAATAAATTTCTTTGAGCGTCAGATGACGCGAGTGTACTTATCTCAAAGTGTTTGTATGAGAAAATGGAAGAGTTGCCAGTCTTCTTGATTTGTTGTCTTCGGTTTATGTGTAGATTACACTCAATTGAATGATATATGTATAACGTTTCTCAAATGAGAATGATCCATGCCTTCATCAAATGACAAAGCAACTGATATCACCCATTCAAAGAAGGTCCCCTATGATAGTGAATAGCTACTTTTCTCATTTTCATCAGAAATGTTCAAATGATTTTGAAAATTTACAGCACTGGCTGCAGCTTACTGCCGGCGGGCAGCCTTTCGGTGTGTACTGGAAACAATGTTCAACGCCACGCACCGAAAGCACTGCTGCTGCTCCTGCTGATGACGACCGACCGTACACCACCACAAACGGTGATTGAATAAGCACCGTTCGGGGAGACCGGATGGAATTCGATTTTGAAATCTGTGTTAGGGAAAGCGCTTTTTGCAGGCAATTGGTGATAATTTTGATCACCATTGTAACAGTTGGACATTTGTGTAATTTTCAATAGTGACCTATTGAAAATTAATAAAGTGTTCATTTTGGCAGATTCGTAGCTTGTTTAGTTTGTTTAGTTAAAATTAAAATCCATCAGCTATTGACATAGTTATAAGTGGTCAAAACATGACCACTTTTCGTAACGCGGTCGATTTTGTTTTTTTTAATTGCACCCCCATTACGTTGCCGAAAGACGTAATCCTCCGTCAAAAGACTGGTAGACAATGAACAAAAGGTTTGGTTATCTATCTAGTTATTACTATATTAACTTCAAAACGGTTGTTTTTTTATAATTTCTTTATTTGTACAGGCTCAATCGAATAAACTTTATAATTTATAAATTTTATAGGTATATAGGTTTGTGACACGTCAGTTTCTTACCAAATGAGTTCAAACTTTGGAAGGCTGATTAGGACCCGATTTGAAGTCGTTTGAGCACTGTAGAACAAAATTTTCAAATTTTGCATCATTCTAGCAGCAGTTCTCAAACTTTTGTCGATTGCAACCTCTTTGCACAATTTTATAAGATCGTGACTCATCAATATTGAATAAAAAATCTTGCAAGGTCTAAATAACCATAGCATTACAAAATGACCTTAAAAAGCAAAAAAGTAACTGTCGATCTATATGAAACCCAAAAAGAAAATGGCATTAAAACGGGTTAAAAATACTAAAATAGCGAAACAATAAGTTTCATACAATTTCAAACGCTAACATTGAATGCGCCAATCAGTCCAAAAAAGGCCTTAAATGTGCTAAAATGATGTTAAAACACTAAAATAGTTATCAGCGGCGCCGGTGGTGTAGTGGTAAGCTTGATTACCTCTCACCCCAGCAGGCCTGGGTTCAATCCCAGTCGGCGCCGCCGGGATGTTCTGAGGCATAACATCTCTGATCACGCCTTCCTTCGGAAGGGAAGTAAAGCCGTTGGTCCCCGGTTCATGAGTTGATGGGTAGATAGGTAGGGTCCAGGTGTGGGAGAACAAACCAAGGAAAATAAAATAAGAAACTAAAAGAGTAATCGAACGGATGAATAGTAATGAAAAATCAGTTTTGAAACTAAATACAAAGCCATGCCAAAACAATAAAATGGTAAATATAATCGATTCCGGATCAACTTGCAACACCAAAATGGGCTAAAAATGGCCTGAAATTGCAAAAATTACCTCAAAATGCAAATAAATACCATTAATACCCTCAAAATAATTTTAAATGCTGAAATAACCTTTAAAACGTCTAAACACCAGAAATGGTATCACAATAGCAAAACTATAATTACTAATAATTATCCCTCAAACAACCGCTCAACTCTTATAACAATATGTAAATCGACACTCTTGTCGCTCGCCTTGATGAAGCCCTTTTTCCACTCTCCGCATTTGAACCCTTCCCGCCAGTGACCAATGTCTTGGCATATGTCATTGACAGACACGTTCCGAAAAAGATTCATCATCGTACGACCCATAAACCATATACGAGCGAATTTCGTCGACTGAAATCCAAAAAAAAAGAGCTGCTCTTAGGAAATCCACCAAGCACTGCAAACTATCCCTTCAACGTCACTATGTCAGGATCAATCACGAATACAAACGAGTTGCGAAACGGTGCTTTCTTCAGTATAGAGCTTGCTGATGTTTATCGTATGCACACTACGTTACGTATACGTATACGCAAATGTTTTCATCGGGAAAAAAACTTCATAGTGAAAAATTTTCCAGATGAAAACAAATCACTGACACAATCACACTTTAGCAATCTCTATTGATGTGGATTGCAGAGAAAGCTTAAGTCACGTCCCAAAGCAGTTTTAGAAGTTTATCAACGAACAACGTCATGAAGCTGGTCTGCCGTCGTCTATGATACATAATGGTAACGTGGCCTCATATACGCAAGATATCTGTCAGCTGTTCTCTGAAAAATTTGCTAGTGTCTTCACTGACGAGAGACTGAGTGACGACCATGCCCGACTGGCTGCCAGTTACGTACCACTCTCTGGCCAAACCATGAGCAGAATTGACATCAATCCCGAGATGTTTTCCAGGGCTTCCTCTTAACTCAATTCGTCGTACAATCCGGGTCCTGACGGAATTCCATCGGCGTTCCTCAAAACGCACTTGGACAGTTTGCTGCATCCACTGCCGCACGGTTTTCAAAGGTCCGTGGACGTCAGTGTTTTCCCATCCTGTTGGAAGCTAGCGCACATGTTTCCATCTAGGTGTGATTCTGGATACACAACTCTCTTTCAAGAAGCACATATCGTATGCCGTCGATAAAGTTTCCAGAATTCTAGGGTTATCTTCAGGATTGCCAAAGACCTCACTGATATCTACTGCCTTAAATCGTTGTATTGTTCCTTGTCTCGCTCCATATTAGAATACTGCTCGGTTCCTGATATATTCGCTACGTAAACTGCCGTGGACGGATCCCTTCCGATTGCCTAGCTACAAAAGTCTTCTGCAACTGATCCATCTGGAGCCTCTGTCGGTCCGAAGAGATACAGCAAGGGCAGATATTTTGCAAGGACGCACCGATTGCCTTGTTCTCCATGAGCAAATTGACGTCAATGTTCAACCCAGAGCCCTACGGAATAATTCAATGCTGCGCCTGCCCTTACAGCGAACTAATTATAGCATGTTCAGTGCAATCGGTGGTTTACAGAAACTCTTCAATAGGGTCTCCGCACTATTTGACTTTGACCTGACTAGCCAACTGCTTCGCCGGAGGTTTAGTTAGTTTTTTTCTAGATCAGTTTAGTTTGTCTAGCAATGTTCCTTTTTTAACGAGATGACTATTGACTTATTGATGTTTAGTTTTAGTACTTTTCATGTTTAGTTTAGGTTACATCATTGCGGCTAATGACGTAATAAATAAATAAATAAATACACACTTATTCAAACATAAAAAATAAAGCAGCAAAAAAGGTTATCTTCAATTTAATTCCACTTAATTAATTTTGGTATCCATGACAGATACGTCCCAACAAACAATTCACTGTCACAACTAAGCATACACATTGAATAAATGCTGTATAACAGTGTACATTGCTGAATAAAACAGGATGTCGAATTATTTGCTGAAAAAAGCTCATTGAGATCGAAAGATGCGCCTTTATTCCGCCGTTTGCTCTGATATGACTAATTTACGTATTAATAGCTTTATAAACTTGACTGTCTTCCTGATTCAGAACCAGAAGTTTGATCTAATAACATACTGAATAAGTGTAATCACATTCATTGACGCTTTAATTCGACTGTTTTAAATTGATTCAATAACATGCTTTATTATACGTCTAATAATTTTTTTCTAGCTCCATTATTAGATTCCATTGCATTGCTTAACAATATTGCTGAATGAAGGTTTTTTATATTTATTTTCTACGCCTAATTTATTTAAATCGTAATCATAGATCGTATCACTCACGATAACGAATTCATAGATCTATCTAAAAGAATAGCCCAGCATCCTTTCCATCGAAATTAGAGACATGGAGAGGTAACATTGGTCTCATGTAAAACAACTATTAATGATTTAATAATTCTCACATCTCCTTGAATTAGCTAGAGTTACGACAGGGAGTGCTGATAGGTATTCAGATTCAAGCTTTTATTGCTTATTTAGCTGCTCATATGATGTATTCTAGGATAGCTCAGATGGCAAGGTAAGCGGCTGGTGATCGGAAGGTCATGGTTCGAATCCCATGCTCTGTCCCGTTCTTATTTTCGGATTAATTATCCCGTAGTTGAATAATCGTTTATTAAATGTATAATAGTGTCTAATTAAACATTATTTCACATGAGAATTAAGCGTCTTCATACACCTTTATCCCATCGCTGTTTAAGGAAGTAATGATGTCTAGTAAACGCTGAATAATCAAAAATTTGATCGAATAAGCTCTGTTACAACTTTTGTAAGTCGAATAAAAGCTTCTCGACATACCTTATTGAACACCAAATATTTCGATGTTGTGGTTGAATAAATTCTCCAGATTTGTGTGAACAAAGCCTGAACAGAAGTTATTATTAAAAATAGTACAAGTATTATTAAGTATGCAGTGGAATTAAATCGTCAAAAAGTCGTTTCAATAGGCAATTGTTTGTTGGGGTATTTAGATTTATTTTTTATCGGTTAGGTAGCTTCCGATTCTACACATTGTAGTTTCATTTTTATACCTGGGATCTTGACATTTTTACCTAGGGGATGAGTACTGATGAAGACTGCACATTGTAGTCGAAATACGTATCTGTCATGGATACCAACATTAATTAAGTGGAGTGAAATGGAATATAACCTTTTTTGCTGTTTTATTTAAAGCATTCAGCTAACAACCCAACTTTATTACTTTACTCATTCAAATGCCTAAAAAATAATAGTTAAACTTTTCAAACTGACTTTAAAATTCCTAAATTATCTTAAACATAAACTTCTCAAACTGGCTTTAAAATGTCAAAATAGCCTTAAAATACACAGATACAAATTCTGAATTTGTATTGTGATGTAAACATTCATTCACGTAAACTTATATTTCATTTCACGCAACCGAGCAACTTGTAAACAATGTTGTTTACAAAGATGGGCTTTTGTATACAATATTTGCTACATTACATGAAATGTCTCTGAACTTCACATGATTTATAATATAAACTTAGATGATATGTCACGCTCCATTTATGTGCATCATATTGAACAGAAATTTACACTACTTTTTCGAACTGTGTAATCAAAATAGCCTGAAAACATCTGAATAGACCAGAAATCAATTATAAGACAACTGAAATCAGCAAGACATCCCTAAAATCGCCCAAATATCGTATTAATCTAAAAAATCTTATTGAAATTCTGAAATGATTTTGAAACATCGAATTATTTAAATGCTTTAATTTCCGTAAATATTTATTAATTTATAATTCAAACCGATTTGACGTCGCATTAAACAATAGATTGATATAAAGAGAGAGAGTATTTAGTAATTTCTATTTAATTCCACTACCTTATTTGTTTATTCTTGACAGATACGCGTATTTCGTCTACAATGTGCAGACATATGATTTCAAATAAAAGGTTGGAGAACACATCTTCACCGAGGACCACCTACTATCGACGGAGGACATCACGATTTTACGTACCGTATCTACAGCATGGAAATTGGATGTTGCAGAGAGCCTCGAGATCAACAAGCAACGGAATTCAACTTTACTCAACATACCGCCACCGGTGTGTTGTGACCCTTAGATTGAGGAACGCGGCTCAAATATTGATCATGGGGACGACCGAATTATTTAGGAAAATAATACATGGCAAAACATTGTGTAGTTGCTAAGAAATGACACTGCAAATATCGGCTCATTTTGACGAAATCAAATCCAAGCGCTAAGAACATCAAAACTTTAAAATCTTAAAAAAAAAACTAAACTCTTTGAAGCCCAACAAAACTAGGAATGTCTGTCACACAATTATGTTTCATTATTAAACAAAACAAATAAACAAATTGCTTGACACCGCTGGTAAGCATGACTGCTTTGTGTCTGGGTCAAAACAGGATGCAGAACACTCCTAAGAATTTTATCTGAAAATGTCAAGTTATTTGGTAACATGGTTTTTGAATCATGACATCAAATAACTTCAAATGTTCAGAGAAATATGCACAAGAAAAAAAAAGCATAAGCTCAAAAACAATCTTAAACATTTTGGATTCCAGTTGTGGCTAGTTACAGCTTGCTTGCTTTTTAGTTATAGCTGTTTATGTCAGTGCACTTTTTTTTTAAATCCTCTTTGTTTAGACCTTTAGCTGCTTTAGAGATGTTGGAGATAGTACAGTAACGGACAGAAGTGGCAATACTCTTAAACAATAATGGTTTAGGACTTGAATTTTTGCAACTTGCTTAATGCGAATGTGAATCTTTTTTATTTAGGTTTTAACACTGTTTGAAAGTTTAGTCATTGACTCATTGCATAAGTTATTTTTAATAAACTATTTTAAATTTCAAAGCAGATCTGACCACATTTTTTTAGTCACGTTCACTAACCTTGGTTTGACAAGCGCAAGATGATGGATATTGAGAATACAAGTCCGACGAAATTTCTCTGTGTTTATCGTTTCGTTTATTCAGATGATTTTCTCCAAACACGTCACTTTCGGTATCACTATCCTCGTTCGTACCTTCGTTGTTCTTGTCCAACTCATCTAGGATGTGATTTTGATTGAATCCACCAGCCCATTCGTATCTGTGTCGCCGATCTGCTGGTGGGAAGCAGTTAATCGATTCTGACTCCGCAGCCAATTTTTTCTGATCGAACTCGGACGATAGGAATATGTTTTCGAACAATGGCGACGAGCCATATTTCAGCTTCCCTTGCACTTGGTTGGTTAGCAAAATTGCGATGCATGTTAAAATAAACTGAAAAACGCTAGTTTCCATGATTCGTTTGCTAATAATTTCTTAAATTACGTCTTACCGTTAGTTTCATTGTAGAAGAACTAAAACAATCACCTGTGAGCTATGCTGTTTTTATACTGTTACATCTCTCACGTTGTATGTGGTATCCAACGGTTACTAATGGAAATGCTGACATGAGTTACGTTCGGTGTCAACTGCATAGCTATTGATCTACGCTTATAGCGTGAAAGTGATACATTTACCCATTCATATGCAGTGCCTTTTAGAACTCTTTAGTATATAAATAAATCAAAGATTTTTGTATTTCCACAAATTGAAGGGCATCCTGGCCCGAGAAAAAGATGCTATGATCACACAGCAAACAAACATATTTAATGTGCGTTATTTTTTTTTCAGAATTCCCTCACTTAACGGTTGATTCTTTGATTGATTCATAGCTGACAAATATGATGATCGTCATATGGGAATTACAAAACAGAGTACGATATATCCCATGAGGCATAAATACGTTAAGCATAATTCACGTTTGGCATTAACCTAACCCAACATTAAGGTTGTCAGTTGTGGAGATAAGGCAGTTGTCTTACGAAAAAAAAAATTATATTTTTACGCAATTAAAAACAGCTTTCTTTAGTTTTCTTTATTATAGAGACTTTCAGCCGTGGGCTGGTTTGTTGAAAACTGATTTCTTATAGACAGGGACAACTCAGGGAAATTCATTTTACACAGGTATGAAAAATCATTTGCATTAATTTCGTGCATTAATTTACATTCATTTGTCTCTAAGTTTTTTCATCAACAGAATTCCGTAAAATGATTTATGAAGCTTTTGTAGGTATTATGACTAGCTACAACTTTTGTGAATAATTTAAATCTGTATCTCTTATGCACACACTACGAAAAAGTCACGTTAATTTCGGTTCCCTGAGACCGACATATGTAAGCGTTCCTTTTGACATAAGAATCGGTTGAAAGAAACGAGAAAATCATTTCAATCGAACGTTCTCTTCGTCGAGTTGCTTATGTTTTGGTTTGAGAACACTTAATTTAACATGAAATGTTTGTTTAAGTTCCATGATTTACGTTCAATATGGATTACGTCTTGTGTAAAAGTAGTTATTTCTAAGTGTGCATGATAAACCAGAGCGAACAGAACCCACCATTGTTTTTCAGTGAGTGTAATTTACATTCAATGAAAAACAATAACAAGTTCTGCACGCTCTAGTTCGTCAATTTTCTCGTCCACCAAGCACAGACAATAGACTAAAATTCATTCGGACATGAACACCCTCCAATCCTGGACCCAAAGCGTCCGCCTATAGTCAGACTCACGGAACAGTCTGCAATTGGCGACCGATGCTTTCTGAAGGCACGTCTACGAGATCCAAAAATTATGGACATTGTGCGGTCTTATCTTTCATTCCTGCATGACCAGCAACCTGCCACCTGTATTCACCGAACAGACATCAATTTTCTACGCGAAATATTCTTGGACTTCCACGAAGAACTTGGAATTTCACGAAATGACGCCTTAGAAAACCTGAAGTCATACCGAGCGTTCTTATCCAGCGAACGCACACAAAGGCTGCAGCAAACTAGGCAAGCCGCACGGAAATTCTACAGCCCTCAAAATTTTCATTAACACTTAGATACGCGGCATCAGATAGCGGAAGACTATAAGCAGCTCCGGGTGCAGTTCCTGTTTTTGAAATTGTTGCGGATTTGAACGAGGGAACAGATAATGAAATTTATGATGATGTAGAAGATTATAATAGGCCTGACTTGAATGATGATTTATACTTTTCATACGCAAACTTCGTCGGTAGAAGGGCTTCCACCGTTGGAGGAATATAACTTCCTCTCCAATCTGATCTTGGACAGCGCGCTTCGAGCTCAAACTCGGTCGGTTCCTGGAACGTCTTTGCGTAGGAAACCTCCTTCCCCTTGGTGGGACCACCAATGCACAGAGGTTTATCGTAAAAAGTCCGACGCGTTTAAGCTTTTCCGGAAACGTGGAACACCCGTGTATTTCGAAGCGTACTCGACTCTTGAACGCGAACTCAAAAGCCTCATCAAAGCCAAGAAACGCGGATACTGGCGGCAATCCGTGGACGGATTATCGCGCGAAACGTCGATGAATACGCTGTGGAATGCGGCGCGAAGGATGCGTAACCGGTCTTCAAACAACGAGAGCGAGGAGTACTCAGATCGTTGGATTCTTAAGTTCGCACGAAAAGTATGTCCTGATTCCGTGCCGGCACGGATGATTCCTCGCGAAACGACGAATTCGGTAGACGAGATCAGCCAGCCCTTTTCAATGCTGGAGCTCTCACTCGCGCTCCTTTCGTGTGGCAATTCGGCTCCGGGGGCTGATAGAATCAAGTTCAACTTGTTGAAGAACCTCCCAGACGTCGCTAAGAGGCGCATGTTGAACTTGTTTTGTCAGTTCCTAGAGCTCAATATTGTTCCGGATGATTGGAGGCAAGTGAGAGTTATAGCCATTAAAAAGCCTGGAAAACCGGCTTCAGATCATAACTCGTATCGTCCCATCGCGATGTTATCGTGCATTCGAAAATTGTTGGAGAAAATGATCCTTTTTCGCTTGGACAAATGGGTTGAGACGAACCACCTACTCTCAGATACTCAATTTGGTTTCCGTAGGGGCAAGGGAACGAACGACTGTCTCGCGTTGCTTTCCACCGAAATTCAGTTGGCTTTTGCTAAAAAAGAGCAAATGGCTTCTGTGTTCTTGGATATTAAGGGGGATTTTGATTCAGTATCGGTTGAGGTCCTTTCAGACAAACTCCACGCATGTGGCCTTTCTCCATTAATTAATAACTTTTTGTACAATTTGCTGTCAGAGAAACATATGAGCTTTTCTCATGGAAACTCTACAGCTTCTCGATTTAGTTACATGGGCCTCCCCCAGGGCTCATGTTTAAGCCCCCTTTTGTATAATTTCTACGTCAGAGAAATTGACAATTGTCTAAGTGGCAACTGCACGCTGAGACAACTTGCAGATGACGGAGTTGTGTCTATGACAGGGCCCAGAGAGGCCGACCTGCAAGGACCCTTACAGGATACCTTAGACAATTTGTCTACTTGGGCTATTCAGCTAGGTATCGAATTCTCCACGGAGAAAACTGAGTTGGTCGTTTTTTCTAGGAAGCATAGCCCAGCACAACCGAAGCTTCAACTTTTGGGTAGGCCGATCACTCATTCCATGTCTTTCAAATATCTTGGGGTCTGGTTCGATTCCAAATGCACCTGGAGATCCCACATTGAGTATCTGAGACGAAAATGCCAACAAAGGATCAATTTTCTTCGAACAATTACCGGAACGTGGTGGGGAGCCCATCCACAAGATCTTCTGACGTTGTACCGGACAACGATTTTATCGGTTTTAGAGTACGGTAGTTTTTGCTTCCAGTCGGCGGCTAAAACGCACATCATCAAACTGGAACGGATCCAGTATCGCTGTCTTCGTATCGCGTTAGCATGCATGCACTCGACTCATACGATGAGTCTCGAAGTGTTAGCGGGCATGTTGCCACTATCTGATCGGTTTTCGGAATTATCCCTCAGGCTCCTCACCCGTTGTGAAATTATGAACCCACTGGTGATTGCAAACTTTGAGAAGCTTCTTGAGCTAAACCCCCAAACTCGTTTTATGACATTGTACTACGTGTACATAACACAGGATGTCAGCCCTTCACAGCATAATCCTCATCGTGTATGCTTCTCTGACTTCGGCAATTCAGTTAGTTTTGATTTATCTATGACGCGGGAGATTCGTGGGATCCCAGAACATCATCGTTCCATGATTGTTCCGTCAATTTACGCTGCAAAGTTTGGCCAAGTTGATTCCGCAAGATCGTTCTTCACAGATGGATCACTAATAGAGTCGTCCGCTGGTTTTGGTATTTTTAACGAATTTCATAGCGCCTCTCGAATGCTTCAAGCTCCTTGTTCCGTATATGTTGCTGAACTGGCGGCAATACACTATACGCTAGAAACGATCGCCTCACTTGCACCAGATCACTATTTTATTTTTACGGATAGTCTCAGTTCTGTCGAGGCTATTCGATCCATGAGGCCGGTAAAGCACTCCTCGTATTTTCTCATGAAAATACGAGAGCTTTTAAGTGCTTTATCTTTAAGATCTTTTGTCATCACCTTTGCATGGGTCCCATCTCATTGCTCGATTCCGGGCAATGAGATGGCGGACTCACTTGCTAAGGTGGGCGCTATGGAAGGCGATATTTACGATCGACAAATCGCCTACAACGAATTTTTCTTCATTTATCGTCAACAGTCACTCGTCAGCTGGCAGAATAAGTGGAGTGAAGGGAGTTTGGGACGATGGCTATATTCGATCATCCCTAAGGTGTCGAAGAGTCCTTGGTTCAAGGGGTTGGATGTGGGTCGAGACTTCATTCGTATGATGTCTCGCCTCATGTCCAATCACTATTCGTTAAACGCTCACTTGTTCCGTGTTGGGCTGGGAGACAGCAATCTCTGTGAATGTGGACAAGGTTACCAAGACGCCGATCACATCCTTTGGTCTTGTGCTGAGCATCGTGGAGTCAGATCTGAGCTGTGCGATTCCCTTCGGGCTCGAGGTAGACAACCTAATGTTCCAGTTCGGGATATTTTGGCTAGACGTGATCTGGAGTTTATGAAACTCATATATGTTTACTTTAAGAATACTAACCTTAGATTGTAAGTTTTATTAACCTTGTGTTTAGTTTGTGTATTGTGCGTTTAGTTTTTTTTTTAATGTTTGTTTTCAAGATGAATAGAAATTAGTTCATGTTTTAGGATTAATTAAATATTTGTATCGAAAACCACATTTCAAACCTCCCTCTCCCTTTTCCCATCCAAAAAAATTGTAAATCTCCACTAACCTCGAGACAACCGCGAGTATCCGGTCCAGCTCCTTTAACTTATATATAATATAAGACATCAATAATGTATAACGAAAATGATAACTCGGCTCTGTAAAGTTTATTCGATTGAGCCTGTACAAATAAAGTAATTAATAAAAAAAAAATACGCAAACTTATTTAT